TCCCTCCCTCCCTCCCTCCTCCCTCTTCGCAAGTTCGACTCCGTCCTGTCGTCGCTCTTTGGCATGCGGTTAGCGTTGCGTATCTTGCGGCCGCACTCGCTCACTCTCACTGTCTCACTGTCTCACTGCCTCTCTCTCTCTCTCATCTCTCTCATCTCTCTCATCTCTCTCATCTCTTTCTCATCTCTTTCATCTCTCTCTCCTCTCTCTCTCTCTCTCTCTCTCCTCTCTGTCTCTCGTCTTTCCGTCTCTCTTCTCTCTCTTCTCTCGCAGGAGGATCCGGGCAAAGAGCCACATATAAAGGACTCTTCACCCCTGCCTCCAAAAAGAGCGCCGTGTTTTTTCCTTCCCCGCTGCCCTCCACTTTCCCATTTTGGGGCGCTAGCTTTCTCCCCCCCCCCCCCTTGGCCTCAAGTATATATATATATGTGATAATGGCACATTTGTTTTGAATCACGTAGGTGGAAATGGGTAATAGCATGGTACATAGAGCCCGCGGTTGTTTGCTGTGACTTTCAAAGTGCGCGGTCGCAGGAGTCACGGTCACACCTTTGTCCAAAGAAGTGTCGCTGCCACAGTTGGCCTCGCACGGACCACCGACACCGGTTGACTCGGCGTAAGACGGCCAGAGCGAAGAGGACAGGTAGACAGGTTTTCGTAAAGAAAGCACAGGAATACAAGTGGGAATGGGCTAGCGGCTATCAATATCTCATTATGGAGGCCATACCCGCCTTGGTCATACAAGCCCTTTTGACATCCCGTGCAAGTGTGGCCGCTGTTTGCGGTGTGACCAGCCGCAGTGTCCGCCAGGTGTCCATTGATTTTGGTGTCTTTGCTCGTCTCCCTTCTCACGGTGCTCGAGCTTGTAGCGCCCTTGGCCTGGGTCGAGAGCTGAGCCACACTGCGTTGGACCGTCCAACTGAGGGAGTTGGAGCAAAAGCACATGTCATGTCCATTGAGCTCTATTGTCGGAGAGTGTAACTTTGGTTTCACCGATTCTGATTCGTCTGGATGTCTTTGGAATCAACTTGTGTCAAGTAATGCTGCCGCATTGCCACATGGAAACCGGCGCGCCTTCAACTTCGCTAAGATCTCGATGGAGAGAGATAGAAATATGATGAAGTATGTCAACGGTCAAAGTGAATACGTCCTTTGTGCTACAAATGGGGTCCTGTTCTTGCAGCACGGAACCATTTCTTTTGGTAGCTTGGACGGCAAAAGCGGGGCCCGACCAGCGAGGTGGCGTCACTCGGCTGGAAAAAGGTCCTCGACTCGGAAGAAATCTCCGTGAAATTTCAAAGCTCCCATGCTACTAGTAATGCCCTTGTTCCTAGTAGCGGTGCCAGGAGCCCCTAGTAGCGTCCCTGCTCCCATTTTTCTTGGTGTGACTTTGGAATTTCAGTGCTGAGGCCTGCATGCTAGCACTCTTGCTGAAGATCTTTTGGCTTAGACTTTGCATAGGGCTTGCCCTCTCCTCAGACCAAAGAACAGTTCATCGCGCAAACGACAGCATCAGGTGGCCAACATGTTGGTTTTATGGCTTGTGATGATGTCTTAGGATGTGATGCTTTGGACAAACAGAGAATCAATGTGACAACATGAAAAACTGAACCTGGACAGAGGGATCTCATTGCGCTTCTGCAGGATGTTAACGGAATGATCCAGCCGACCACTTTGGGGTCAAACCACTCAAAACATGAATTCCGATCCATTTTCTCCTCAAAAACGAACTAAGAAGCTACGTCATGTTATGGCCTACGTCCTTCGGGGCGACCTGAGGCCATGACTGCGATCCGTTCCTCCTGCTTCGAGCGATTGGGTTGCATCGGTCGGCCCTTAGAGCTATGGCTCGGGCACCCAAGACGCACGTGGTCCGGTTAGACGGTAGTAACAAGTGCCATGCTAGTAGTAACAGGTGCCTTACTAGGAACAAAAAAGTTATTAGAATTAAACTTCAAATAAAACTAAATCTAAATTAATAGCTTCTAGACTTAACTTAATTCTAATTTAATTCTACGTTCGCAAACATTGTTACTACGTTCGTAAGGCACCTGTTACTACTAGCGTGCAACTTGTTACTACTAGAGAGAGAGAGAGACGCTCTGAAGAATTTCAGCCGTTTCCAGGTTAGATGCTCTTTGTATGTTTCGAGATATCTTGGTGTCGCTGGGGGCTTGAGAATGTAAGAGCGTCTTTGAATTTGGCAGATGGATGTCACTGGATGTCACATTCCTCAGCACCTTCAATATGGTTCTTGCCAAGGTCCATCATTTTTCTGGCCCTTTGCCCTTTGGTGCTGCTCTCCGGCATTTCTGAATTCATATGTCCAGCCCTTATCAAATTTGTGGGTTTTGAATCACGGTCGCGTTGTCCAAGCTGATGGCCAGGTCCAACTTTCAGCATCCACCACCTAATTATTTATAGGCGGGCCGGTTTTGAATGGCGACATGGAGAGACTTTTGGGGTTGGCTCCGGAGGCCATGTCGGGGGCTCTCCGCAGTCGCGTCAGGCAACCAGGGCATACGGATCGTGAAAATTTGGACTTCGACCCGATCTTGATCCGCATGTGTGACTCGGACCTTTGTGTTTTCTTTGCGTCACATGTGCATAATTCTTCACTCAGGTTTCGAAGAGGAGGATTCGGAGGAGGGACTTGACCACGAGAAAACGACAATGCCACCGACGTTTGTCCAAGCTCCGTGCCAGGCTCCAAAGGCCGTAGGCCACATGTGGTGCCAGTAGGTAACATGCTGTAACCATGCCAGATAGGCAGAGGATGAACGAGGATGAAAGATGACTAGCTCGGAAAGAGCGACTTTGGGGGCATCTATTTTGCCGAACTGATAGCAATGGCCTCCAACCTAATATGGCAAAAGGAACCTAAGAGCAATGGCTTCCAACCGAGAAGCGATGGCCTGCACCTATTTTAACTCCACTGAACGGCCGTTCGAAGTGACCATGGGAGTTCTCCAACCCTGACAGATGAGAGAGGATACCCTTGTCTTCGTGGCGGGCGTAAAAAACAAAACATGACCAAACTCGGGCGATTGCTCCAAATCAGGGAAACTGATGCCATCGGATGCCCCTTACTTTAGGGAGCACCGCTACCTCTTGTTGATGGATCCTATATTTTCTGTTTGATCTCGCCCTAAAGGTCCAGGCTGACCCCCGTCCACACCTGAGACTGCTACTTTTGGCCAGGACACCGATGAAAATGAGAGTGATATATCGGGACTGCCTAATGAACGCATGCCTCATCACCACTGTTAAAGGGTGTCGGCATGCTTCGGAGATTGGAAGGCCCGTTGACCTCGAACGAAGCTTCGACAGTTCGATTTCGCTTTTGTGTTTCTCGTGGAATTCTCCACTTAGCCTTCTGAAGGCGCGTAGGAGCCCCGTCCTCGGGCGGTTTCACACGGATTAATAAGATCTTAGAACTCTAGATCATTAGGCGCGCCACGGTCCAAAAAGAGTTGGCAGTTGTTCTGTTTAACTTGGGTCAGGCTGATATGTGACAAGTGAGGCCAGAATCCAATCACCATATGAGCATCATTGCATCATGTCCTGTTGTGTCCTGGGGGGGGCGTGCGTAACCCAGATGGTGGCAGCAGGTATTTTGCTCAAAGAATGCAAACCAAACAGAGGGCACAGGTTGCAGAGCTTGCACTGCTCGGCGTTTCTCAGCACATACCAAGTCTAATGTGTAAGAGCTTTTGCTGTTTTTTGACTTGGAGACAGCCCAAGCCTCAAAGCCCCACCCAGCCAATTAGCATTTTTGCGGCTTCGGCCACATTCCCCAGTACACAAGCAGCCATTGTCGCAGACGGCATGCGGAGGCACGCTCAATGAATCGCATGCTTTGCGTCACGTTCGTTTGGACCACGCGAAGTATCCTTCATCAGTTGCTTGGGTTTTTGTGGAGCAGGATGACGTCTAGGAGCAGAGGGCGCTACTAGGAGCAAAGGGCATCGCTACTAGGGGCTCCTGGCATCGCTACTAGGAGCAAAGGACGCTACTAGGGGCTCCTGGCCGTACTGGTAGCAAGAAGCTTTTTGGGAACAAGGGCATCGCTACTAGGAGCGATCGGACGCTATGTTCGGGGCTCCTTGGTTCTCCACAGCTTGTTGCAACAGCCAGGCGGCGAGTGCATTCTCGTTCACGAGGCCTGCGATGAAAATCCGGACGAAGGTACTTTGAGAAGATGCAACACAGGTGCTGCTTAGATACCTTGATGCAAAGCTCCAATCTTTGGGGTTCGTCCCGTGCCCGCTGAGTTCTCAACGGCCGATCGCCCCAGGGCTTTGGGCATTCGTCCTCCTTCCACAAGCTGCCTCCCGGCAGGAAGGGCATCGCCACCTTTGCGGGGGGAATTGAGCAGAGGGAGTTGAGCAGGTGAGACTTAGTGACTTAGCCTGCTAGGACAAACAAAAGGGTTGGTGAATGGACACCGTTCTTTCGCCTACAAGTTTCGCCTGTAAAAAACTGATCACGAGACACCCCAAACACGGGGATCCTGCTAGATAAAATGTATATCGTTTTTTTGGCGTGCCTTGTGCAGCACCCTGCCGGGCATTGAAGCTGTTTAGAAGAACGCTGCCGGGTTGCAAAATGAGGTTTGTCAATCGTTTCCAGGACGACCAGGCAAGGCAAAGGGAGATGCATGATGCGACAAGAAGAGCTTCTCTTTGTTACAAAGCTGGTTTGTTGCCAATTGGTGTTGTATTCCTTTTGCCAATCTTCTCACAACTGAAAGTCAGGCACCGCAAGCACGTGCCCAAAGTCAGAGTGGGCAGTGACCTGAGACATGTGACTAGCATTTTGCGATTAGGGTACCACCATGTACCACCACATTCCCACTCAGCACCTCGACAGAACCCACCCTCCACGGCGACCGGTGGCGGTGTTCCTGAGGTCGATCCGGAAACACCTTCCAGCGCGTGTGCGTCACAATATGATTCGGCGGGGCAACCGTTGACTCTGGTCTTCTCCGATGAGTTCAATGTGCCAGGCAGGTCGATGGGGTCCGGACAGGTCCGGACCAAGCAGCAAAGCCCGTGAAACACACGCCCCAACACACCCACGAACAGGTAAGAGGTGAAACATGGTGAAGTTCATTGAAACCCGCATTCTGATCATTCAAGCCACATGCCGGTGCTCCAATTGTGTCCTTGCTTCTTGGATCGAGCAATTCAAGTGGTGCACATCATCGTCAAGATGAGCCTTAGGTCTGAAATCACGAATCTATGATCATTTATGATCATGCATGCACACTCTCACAACGCCAAGCAACACATGGCCAGAGATGGCAAGACCGTACAGTGGGATAGGTTGACGCAATTGAATCGCCGCCATGCTGGATTTGCTTCGAGGTTCTCCTTCGTTAGAAGGAGCCTTGGAAGAAAGAGATGCAGAAATTGCTACTCTGCAGGCACAGATCAAAGCATATCAAGAAGCAGATCAGCGAGATTTCTTGGCGGACAACTCCGATCAGTTGGCCAGCATTATCTCCACGAAGAACCAGGTGATCCACGATTTGCAACTGCAACTGGACCGTTTCACAGCAGAAACAGCACCGCCCAGCGGTCCCTCTGTCGCCACGAGCTCTATGACGATGGCACAGGCCGGGCGGTGACCAAACAGAAGGGTCGCCAAGTCTAAGGGTTTTGCTGAAAAGGATCATGTTTGCTGAAAAAGGAGGGTTTGAACATGGACTTCCTAGCGTTTGCCCGAATGGAAAGAAAACATGAAACGCTTTTGCGGGCGCTGGAGACCTCCGTCCCCGGCGGAGGCGTTGGAGAGCGCCAAGACGTCGGCGGCCGAAGTGGAGCGCTTGCGGAGGAAGCTGAAGGAACAACAGCACCAGCTGCAGCTCTACCGAGAAGAAAACCATCGACAGGAGCGAACAAGCGAACCATCGACCTTTGTTTGTTTGTTTGTTCGCTCGGCCCCTGCCTCCTTACTTAACCAAGTAGATGCCTACTGAATTCAGTAAGGGAGAAGTAAGCTACTAGGAACTAGTAACTGGACGCAGGATAGCTCACGCTTCAAGGAAGCTCGATGATTTGGTTCGATCTAGAACTTGAGCATACCCCGGCTTTGACGGTGTCAGACCACAACCGGTAAACCGAAAGGGACCACGTTTCGACCCTTCTTTAGGCAGGCGAGCTCGCCGCCAATGCCGCCAAGAGTGCCGTGGAAATCGGGACCTTGCAGGCACAGCTGAAGTCCTTTGAGGAGATGCAGGCGGGTGGCGCAATTTGGCTGAACTGTTGAACTGTTCAATCACCACGGAGTCTACATATGCCAAATTATGCCAGTAAAGGGGCAAGGAGATGGGAGAAAAAGGTGACAGAAAAGATGTCTAAATGAAGGAGAAGTGGAGCCTGAAACTGAGCTGCAGATGCTTTTAGATGCTAAACTCGAGCCTTTTTTCGATGTCGGAAGACCACCTAGCTTGTAAACCAAAACCTTGCCACTGCCATTTCAGGTGGAGGTTGCCAAGGTGAAGTCCGGGGTGAGTGCAGATGGTGAGTTGAACAATGCGGATTCAAGCGTGCCAAAGGAAATACCGCAAGTCCATGTGCCAAACGGCGGTGGGCATTCTGAAGGACAGAACCAACAACCTCCTCCCGCTGAAGCGACAAGAGAGGAAATTGCTCAGTTTCAACGCATGTGTGCTGAGCGTATGAAGGCGCTCGAAGCACGTGAAGCTGCAGCC